TTTTTGTACGTAATGTAACCCTAAGTAGATTTGACTTTTCTCTTCTATGGTACTTAGTATTTTTCTTTATAGGTTTGCTGGTGATTACATGCTGCATCCATCATCTTCTCAGGGTGTACATCGTTAGATTGCTGTTAATTTTGGTTTGAATCTTTCTTTCAGAGTGGCGAACTGTCCTCCAGACTCACCCCAGTCTCCTAGCGAGCTCTCAGAGATTACATGCGCTCATGACTCTATTTATGTGGCAGGTTTGTTGCTCAATCTGTTTTAAGCCAGACGTAAAATTGAGTTTTCTTTAACTTTATTCAACGAAATAAAAGTTGAAAATGGCCTACTTGCAAGTGCGAGTGACGTCATTGCTAAGAAAATCTAAATGACAACATCACTTGTAAAAATTTTCGGACGCTTAATTTTCAGACACTATAAAAATTTCGGACACTGTGATGAAACACAGCTAAAAAGTGAATTAAAGCCTACATGTACAAACTACGAATTAGACTGGCACAATATCCGTGAAAACAATAGTTTTACAGCACCCCCAAGGTTTTTCAAATACATCAACGAAAAAAATAAAACAAATTCTATCAAGCTGTTTAGGGGATTACGTATCTCAAGCAGTATATCAACTAGAGTTCGCCTGGTAAAGAAAACTAAGAGCTTTGGAGCTGCTTAGAAATTTTATACTGTAATGTAAATATTTCGGACTCTTAAATTTTTGGCAAGTGATGTAGATGATGTAATATCAAGAAGGAAGGGAGACTTTTGAAAGTGTTTTATGGTTGTAGTTAAACTCTTTGCAAAGACCCGAACTTGCATTCCTCGACCTCTTGGGTACCCTGTGCACTCGAGGTTTGAGTGTCACAGAAATATTCCTCATTCAAAGTTCAAATTAGGAAGTTTAATGATTAGAAGATTCGTTCTCATTTGTTTTATTTTGTGGTTTATAGGAAGATACAACAAGTATTCACGAGTCCTTTCTCAGACTCCTTGGTTAATCAACAATGTTCGACGCTGTGAATCGTCAGTACAGGTAAAGAGTGATACAAATCGAAATTAAGGTAGTGAGACTAGAGGAGTGGTCATATAGAGGATATTACCTTGGTACACCAGCCAATTTCAAGAACTTAGTTTGATAAATGTACGGGAATAGGAAGGAGATTTCACATTTCAGTTTTAAGGCTGAATGGACTAATCTCTTTGCATCTGTTGTAGGAAAAAATATGTGATCGGATCACAGCAAAGATAAAACCTGACGGTAAGTAACTACTGTGTAGGGGTAGGGGGGAGAGTGATTACAGGCTATTGACTACTTTGCATTCCCTACCCTGTTACACGGTGGAGATATTTTTACCGGGTTAGTAAAGGGGTCTAAATTTGCTAAGCAACTGATCGCTTCATGAAGGCAAGACAATTTTCCAAGTACTGCGAAGGAGAACGAGATATAACATAACCGAACTACCTTGCCATCTGACCTCGCTACTTCTACATGTACCTCCCTAGTATTGTATTGAGTTGAGTTGAGTTGATAACTTTATTTATACACGGTAAAAATTCCTTAGCATAATTTAAAAGTATAATATCTAAGTCTGCCTAACTAAAGTAACTAATAATTAATACAGTATTATAAGAATAAAAACCCATTATATTACTAAAACTGCTTTTCAAGGATGCCATGTCTCATTCAAAGCTGTAATGACGCAGTTTACCTTTAAATTCGCTTAAAGAAAGCGTAGATCGGAGTTCATGAGGAAGGCTGTTCCACACCGTAGCACCCTTGTAAGAGAAACTTCTCTTTAAATAATTGGTGCGGGGCTGTAGAAGAGCCAATTTATTCTCAGAATTCCTCAGTAGATACGAAGTAATATCATTTCGAGATACGAATCGAGATTGTAGATATTCAGGGGTCAATCCATGTAAAGTTTTGAACATCATAACAGAGGTGGCTACTAGCCTTTGATGACTGGAACAGCTTATCAATCTCTCCTTGTGCGGAAAGTTACTAAATAACAACTGCGTATCAGTCAACTCTCAGCAGCAAGAAAATTAGAATGAAACACGTGAATGTAAAGATAACGCCAGAGGAACAAGTGCTGTTATTGACAGATCTTCGTTGAGGTACACCCAGGGTTTCCAAGTCTTATAATCTAATCAGGAACTAGCGTGCGCACTGACGAAGCTCTCCGAAGATTGTCATGTGCCAGCGCGACGCAATGACAATACGTCATGTCGCTTAGCAGCTTCAGCATACCTCCCGCGAAGCTTGGCGGTTTAAGCAATATTTTAAGCAATTTGAGCGTGAGCGCATAAAGCGGCGAAGCGCAAAAACTCGCGGAAAACTCAATCAACGCAAAAACGTCAGCTAACCAAGGCGCGATTCGTACCCATGCTATGTATGAATCGTTCTATAAGCCTGTTTAGGTAAATGATCCGATTTTAGGCGGGAATATTAAAATGCAGCGCAAAATTGCTTTTATGTTCAAAACGAAAACTTGAGTAAATGTCGATGTTTGACAATTTTCCCTAAACGTTCACCTGTCGCTTTTACAACTGAACTTCAGATGGCTTTTTTATCCAGAATTTTCCGAGGTTGGCCATTTATCTATTTATTTCTCAAAAATTATTGGCCAACGTCACTACACAGAGAATTCCCGGGAGAGAATTAACGTGAGCAATCGTTTGCTACTTCTTGCAAGAACTTACAAGAAATTACGAGATGTAAAAATAGATTCGTCACCAATGGTACCGGACGTTTACCATAAACTTTGCAATTCTGTCTTTCGTAATACGTTTTTAACACCCGTGGATCCTTTATTTATCGTTTAAAGGCTTATCTTGGTATATAATTCTCCTCATATTTCTCATAGAGCTGATTATAAGAGCTTCAGTATGCATATCGCGAGGGTTTTTTTCTCTGTGTTCATTTTGTTCTGTTCTCACAGATCATAAATTCGCATCCGCTGGACGAGAGGACATTGATGTGCGCATGCTCGGTAATGGTAAGTTCAACTTTGTAACGTTAGTCTCAATCTCTTCCCTAGAGCCCGCTTTCCTTTTGGTCAGCACCAAGAACGTGGACTCTGGCTAGACCCAAATTGAAAGTTCGCGACTCACGGACTTCAGTCGTTTCAGCTTAATGCTGATTGGCTGGCAATCGTAAATGACCACTCTGTGCGTGCTAAAAAAGCAGGACTGACCAGAAGAAAGGACTGTTCACCACCGCTGTGTTAGCACAGTGATGCGAGGGTGAAAGCAAAGCGGACACACGAAAGCGAAGCGTAGCGGACCAAGGATAAAAAAAAACTACCCACCCCACCCCGCTTTGGTGCTCGTTTAATCCTGCGCTACATCCTGCGTGGTTTTTATTTTTTGGTGCTCTGGGCCGTCTTTATAGAAAGAAAATAGAAGTTCTGTGAACAGAGTATGTTTGCCTTAAACAAGGGCAATAAGTGTTACTTCCCTAGATATGCAGTCACGGTCATTAGGAGACAGCGTGGCCGATTGAAATAATCACAATGACCACGAATCTGTAAGTTGCCTTCCTAATGTACAGCTTGATTACAACGATAATTTCTTGGAAAACTGTTGTTAACCTCCACGATTTTTATTCGTTAAATTTGCGGAAAATTTTGTTGCGCGGCCTTGGTTGGAGTAGTCGCACTGTAAGCGAGAGTAATGAAAGAACACAAACGAACAAATAAATGTTCTGCTTGTTTTTTTCTTGTTTTTTTCAGGAAGACCATTTCTGGTTGAGTTAATCAATCCTCGAGTGACCTATCTAAGCGAACAATTCTTCACTGATCTCCAGCGCGAAATCAACTCTTCTTCAGAGGACGTTGCTATCAGAGATCTACAGCAAGTCACCAAGTAAGTAAAGATGTTTCTCAATATCATTTGACGACTTTCGCTAAGAAAGAGATTCTCTTTTTGCAAGAAAATCCATTGGCTTCGGTGGAGCAATTTTCAAGAATTTATTTTAAGATGAGCTTTCATAAACGTCAACGTATTTGGTGGACGTGCGATAAACTGAAAGGTAGTTTTCATGCCGAATCGTACCTTTTTGGTACGTTTCGGCGCCATATCAGGCGAGTTTGGTCCAGCCACGGTTCGTACAAGCCTGATATGGCGCCGAAGCGTACCAAAAAGGTACGATTAGGTATTTACCCGTACCCAAACTCGGCCAAGTGAGCATGATATCATAGTAAATGGTTTGAACCCAGGAGTGTCAGTAGTTCGTATGGTGTGATCGTCCGGGTGAGGGTAGTTCTGAAAAGAACTGCTGTTGGTGACTCACCAACATTAACAGTTCTTTTCAGAACTACCCTCACCCGGACGGTCACACTATACGAACTACTGGGCATGATATCTAAGCCATATCAGGTCAGTGAGTTGATATCGCAGGATATCAGGACAGTAGACACGGCTTCTGATTCGCTAATTGCGAATTTGGGTACGGTAAGCAGGCATAGCACTCTAAGAGAGGAAGCAAATATTTGAAATAAAATTGTCACTTCTTAAGGCTTCCATATTGTCTCTTGATAAACTAAGCTGTGTCATTTCTTTGTAGGGAGCAGTGTCTCGTTCTAAAAGATGCAGAGACCAACAAAACTAAAACGTACAAGTAAGTCTATAGCAACGCATCGATGGAATAGTTTATGGTTGTGCTACTAAAAACACTGATCATTAGCCCCATCTCGATCGCTTGGTTGCTTTAGGTATTTTAGCCTCATTATGCATTCTTTTTTCTGCGTGTTTGACAACTGAATAACGCCGCTATGTTAATTTAGTCCAACTGAACTGTTAGACGCAGCGGCGCCTCCCATAAGTGAGCACACAAGGAAGGCGTTTTCTCCGGGCCTTGATGTAAACGAAGTCACCTCAGACGAAACTAGGAAGGGGGCGGGGAGGGGGGGGGGGGGGTCAATTGTACATTACAGCAGGTTAAATAGAAAAGTGGTTGTTTTCGAAAGTTGGGTGCACAGGGAGGTTTGATTCTGTCTTGATAAACTACTGTCTACAACTGAATGAGAGCTTTAGTGTATGTCCAGAAATCTTCCATGGTTACAATGCGGAAAGTAGGTTAGTAGTAAGTTCTATTAACACCAACTGAACGTAAGGTAAGTTGTTTAAAAGTAACAATCTTAGTCTTTCTTTAGGGCATTAATATGGACAGAGGAAGAAGTCTCTGAAGAACAGCTTCATAAACTAGCTGATATGAAGGTCCTGTAAACTGTTAAAACATAAAACAACCTAAGTGAAGAAATAACGTTTGTTGTCTAAGTCCTACGCGTAACATCCCTTGTATTTACATGACATGTAAATCATTTGAACTTGAGGAAAACTGATCTTATGTTGATACACTTTCTAGCAGACCAAGTTACAGTTAGAGAACAAAACTAACTGATAAATGACATTTTTATGACCGCGCTCGTAGTATAGAAGTAATAAAACTTTTCTGGGTATCCCGAACGTCATAGTTAGGAGTTGATTTTCAGCTGTCTCGCTAGAGGCTAACGTCTTTTCTGTCCATAATTTTTAGGATGTAAAGATATTCCAGAAAACTCCCCTTCGTGTCTTGCACAGGTAATGGCTGTTTTTGTATGATTAGTCGGTACTCTACGTTATGATAACAGGCATTTCACTTTTCTGTAGCTCTAACGCTGATGGCATCCCGAAACGCATACAAAGTGTGGAATTTTTCAGATCTGATTAAACTCGAGCAGGCCATTTCCGAGTGCGGTCCATTTCCCTGTGTCAAAACAAACCTTCTTGCGGATCCCTTTCACATGAGAGTGTGTTCTGCCTTCAATGTCATTTTCGTGCAAATCAAACTCATCTTTGATGAAAGGTTGCGCACGAGGCCTCGTTTTGAAACAGAGGTACAAGGTAATACTGCTGTTGTGTTTGGTTTGGTCATAGTTAATAGATTAGAGGGAGTTGATTAAGAAGCCCCGTAAACATCAAAGAAGCAAACAAACTAAGATTTATGTCAGTAGGTCCTCGACCCTGCTCATCTTTTGTTTTCTGCTCATTGACTACGCATGAATTACATAATCGCAATGCTTCTACTGGTTAGTTGTATGAGCACACATAACCACCTTTTGTATTTTGCTAGGTTTTTGTGCAGGGTCAACCTCCAAAAAAGCCAACAAAAACATACAACAAATAACTTTGCCAGGTTTCACAACCATTTCCCTCTATTAACTATGGTTCAGCTGGTATAATAGTTACGTTAACTTCTTATGGCTAGTTTATTTAACAGTTGAGTGTTTGTTTTGAATTGCTTTGCAGACGTCCTTTGGCTGTACGAGAGCGATGTGTTTACAGTATGACACCCGAGCGGCTCGACTCTCATTCGTTTAATCTCTTTCTCAAGACTCAGGCGGGAACGTATCCTATAAGAATTTCATCCATACAAGCGTCACGAAGTGTCCCGAATAAAACGATGACGCGTGTGTGTGTGTGATTTCTCTCTAAAGGACTACGTAATCTTGTGACTATTAACTGAAAAATATCTCCTGTAGTGACGTTCGTCACTATTAAAAGTGTAGTGTAATCAGGATTATGGCTAGTTCTGCATCCGGTACACAGTTTATCAACAATATTGCGCCTTGCTTTATGTTTATCTTTCATGGAAGGAAAGATTTACTTGTGTATTCTTCGTAAATATCTACTTGCATGACCGTTGAAGTTGGCAACCGAAGCCGGAATAACTTTAAAATGAAAACCAGACAATATTATACCTGAATGGGAAGAATCTAGTAAGACATACCTTACAATCTAGTTTTTGAACGTTTTGTATCTGGTAAACAGTGATGGATATAGATCTCTTTATTAGCCGGGAACCCAAACAATTTTTTGGCCAATTGGGCCTCAAATGTGGGAAACACAAACATTTTTTAGCCCTTCAGCATGTAGTATTTTCACGAATAAGGAAATGGCTGCCAGCAACCCCCCTCTCCTCCCCTCCGGGGCCCCCTCCCTAGATTTGCTATTTTAATATGTGTTCAAAACTGATTTGCTATAGCATGAGCAGCTCTTGCTGCCGTAATAGATGATATTATTGGCATTTAGAGGAAAGATTTCCTTGACTTGTGTTTAGTTATGTTAAGGAGTTTGTTCATGGAGACTTTGGAAGGACAAAACCTAACTTGGGAAATTTGTTAAACAGTGAGACTGATATTTTACAACTAGATGTGGAGGTAGGTGGTGAAATTTTGTCAAAGACTGCCTTAGCAGTGTATATGGGTTATTGACCAGACGTGAGGTCAAGATAGCTGGATAATGGAAAAGTTCTTTTTTTGCGTGTCCATGGACCGAGACGGAGTCCAGGTCCTTAAACACCCCCAAAAAAGAACGAGACCAATATTCAGCCCGCTCAGGTAGTCGATCACAGCGCAGGATTCGGTTTATATTGCTCGCTCGCGGGACTGGCCATGTA